TGTAGTTGTGATGTACTACATCATTTAGGTTTCTTGCATTGGGACCTTTTGGCTTTGCAAAGTAACTAGGCAATTCCACACATATTTCACAGTTCATGTTACCACTGTTTTGAGCAATTCATGTAGGCCTAATTTTAGGCTGAATGTTACAATTAGTGCATTGTCTTTATTTTTCTACGAAAAGATCCCATCGTCGTAATTATTGGAGAAGACAATTGCTTCAAGCAGTGACAAAATCGTTACACCTCTTCTTTTTAAAAGAAGGCAATCGTTGATTAGGTGACTCATATTCTTGTATATGGCTTATGGTCTATTATAAGGGTACTATCAAGATCGGGATCTATATAAATAATTTTATGTAGGCACATTGTCGAACCACTTATATTTTTATATGTCGATCTGATCGTTCTTCTTCTTTTCGATTTTACTGTTCACGTTTGAAAACGGCAATGAATTTTTCACGTTATTTTAACGATGAACAGTGAATAGAAAGTCGGGCAATCTTCGTAAAGAAGTTGTGCATATGCTCAGCCTATTAATGTTATGCTCATGGATTTTACTATTCATGAGGGGGCCGGTAGGGGGGTTGTACACCCCCGATACGAATAGTGCGGTAGAGAGAGGGGCCGGTAGGGGAGGTTGTACACCCCCCGGTACGAATAGTGCGGTCTCTATGCTCATGGATATACAATGTTTACCAAACTTGCCTGAATATTACTGTACTCATGAATATAATTTTTCCTTTTGCTGTGCTTGTTGGTAAGATGGAATATATGTACAGTAGACGACAGATATGAAAACAAGAAAAAAAATATTTGTTCCTTCATGTTTTATACTGTTTATGATGAGCAGAAGATTTGAGTACTCATTGATTCAAATGAATTTTGAGTAAGGCCTATGGACAAATATTTGGAAATTGATTTAGAAAGTAGATCTTGATCAACTTTTGACTGATGATTTAAGTGGGACTCATTAGGGCTGTCCATGGGTCGGTTCGGTTCGGTTCTGAAGATACCCGAATCGACCCAAAACTTTCGGGTATTTAATAAATGGACCCGTCGGGT